CCAGGGCTTTCAAAGCCAACAAGAGAAGCCTCTTTTATTTCTGAACTGTGAGGGCAGTTAGTAACTGCAATAGAGATGGATCTGTTCCTTAGACACTGGGACATGACAGGCTGCACGCATCTTCTCAGACACTCCTTCCCCACCCCTCCATCCTGCACCGCCTGGCATTTTATCAAACGAGGGTGGGGGCTGCCTTTTGCGCAGAGGTTGAGTTGATGAGAGGAGAGAGGGGGGGGGAAAAATAGCAACAACTGTTGACTAGAAACAAATCTATTGAAAGCTGGCTGCCTCTCTCCCTCAGGTTGTCCTTCTACACCTCATGGTCAGCACTGCAGACGGTTGGGGCGGGGGGACCAGCCTGAGACAATCCAGCACAGCTAATTTTGGAAGTTGCCCCATTGTGTGGCTCGGGACGATGAGGAGGGAACTGGTGAGGGCAGGGAGCGGCCGTGGTCATGGTGGGGAGCCTCGTCGCCTCTTTCTAAGGCAAACAATAGCTGAACGCAGCTGGTGCCCTCCCCCTCACTTTCCCCCCCCTGCCCCTCCAGGGCCGTTTTGAAAGGCAGCGGGAATGCTTTTGAGACTGCGCCAGTGGTTGGACTGGCATAGGAAACAAAAGCAGGAAATTCTGTTCCCCCGTAGATAGTGTCTCGGCAAGGATTACAAAGCTCCAAACAGACAAAACACGAGAGAGAAGGCGAGCTGGGGGGGCCGGGGGCCGACGGGCGGGAGCACGGTTAGAATAGAAAGGAATTTGCTCTGAAGAGACCGTTTATAAATAAATTCCTGGGTCAGCCCAGCCGCCGTGGCGCGTGCTCCAATTCCCACACGTGCCGACCCCTCCACGCTTTGCCGCTCCTGCCGCTCGCTGTGCTCAGCCCTGGCCAAGTGACCCCGAGGCACTGCAGCCCCTGGAGCTCTTATCTACGGGCAGGAGGTGAAGCAACGCTACCCTGCCTTAGCCTCTGTCCCGTATCTCACCCACGGACATGTGCTCTGCCGCTCTCATCCTCAGAGCCTCCGGGAGCCCGTGGCCTCTTGTGGATGCTAAACCTCCACCTCTTAAACTGACCCTTGGACAATTCAAGCCCTGCTGCCTGTGCATCTCCCAGGGTGAAAGGTGCTGACCTCAGTTCCTTGCACTCAGCTTGCCCAACTCCTATAAATTTTTGGAAGACAGTGTCCCTCAGTAGAGCAGGCAGTTAGGAGGAGATCTAAAAAGGCATCTACTTGCCTAATTCCCACAGGTTTCAGTGGGCTTAGGTGTGTAAATAGCCAGGTCTTGGCTCCTGAGCAGTTCCTATATTTATAGTGAGGTCTGTTGATAGTGTGCCTGCTGAGAAATAGAATATCCTCTCCCTCCGTCGCAAAGAGTTAAGAAAAAATAGAGGAGTGTTTGGTGAAGAGGAGATTTACCTACGGAGTCTATCCGCAGGGCACGCTGGAGGTCGCTGATGGAGCGCACTGAGCTGGCACCCAAAATCTCATAAATGTCTTCGGGTATGGGGTCCCCCTGCCAGATGACAAAAATAAAAGAAGGGGGGAAACAAGCGTTAGAGAGGTGATCTGCAAATACTGACTGTGACATGGAGTGGGAATGAGGGGAACCAAAGGAGCACGGAGGAGGCATGACAGAACCAGGGAAATGCAAAGACATGCCTTCGTGAAGGCATGAGCCTGAAACCTGAGCAAAACCAATAAAGCCCCTCTCGCTGCCTCTCACAGCGTGGTCAGGAGACTGAAAAAGCCAAAAAATGCCCGGGCTGCGCCGCTGAGCCCCAGACACTATGCAGGCAGCCAGCAAGGCTTCCTTCTCTGCTGCTGCATGACTTCTCCAGGT